TAATAGCTGACGGGCCACCGCAGCTGGTGATTACTACATGAACGCACAAAGGGGCACCCGCCATAAGTCCAGCCAACCACTCTCTCATCTCGATCCTCCATCATCCCTCTCCCCTTATAAACATACCTTCCTTCCCGCCCTCCCATTCACTTGCCCACAGTCCGTAGGCTTGTGCATTGCGGCGGTGGTATCGGCGTGCATAGCCGTTCCGTGGACACTAATCCCCGTGCTGCCGCTGCTGCTGCTGCTGCTGCTGCAACTGCGGCATTTGTACGTGTGCACGGCGAGGGAGGTCCGGCGGATGGAATGCACCACACGCAGCGTGCTGCTTTCTCGGTTCCTTGCCAGCATGGAGGTGAGACTCATCACTCATAACTCTCTCTCACTAGCTGTACGTGTGCACGGCGAGGGGGGTCCGGCGGATGAGATGCACAACACGAAGCATGCTGCTTTCTCGGTTCCTTGCCAGCATTGAGGTGAGACTCATCACTCATAACTCTCTCTCACTAGCTGTACGTGTGCACGGCGAGGGGGGTCCGGCGGATGAGATGCACAACACGAAGCATGCTGCTTTCTCGGTTCCTTGCCAGCATTGAGGTAAGCTGCTTCTCTCAAACAGCCTAAGTCTTTTTCTCCTGGGTACGATTTATAAGAGTGGCGACAGCCTATGTGTCTAAGGGAGCTCCAACTGGGGCTCCAACACTACAAAGCAATCCCCAGATGAGATGTCTTCTCCTGGGTTGCTTAGGGGCGGGTTCTTAGTATGGGATGCCTCATTTGACCTGATGAGGTACCTGGAGACTTGCCCTCGCTTTAGATCTGATGGCACGGCAAGGGAGGTTTGACGGATGGTATGCACAACATGCAGTGTGCTCGTCTACTTAGCATGATTATGGTAGCGGTCAATCTTCTTAGCCGTCGTCTCCCAAGCAGCCCTTCCCCTCCCCTTGATCGCTTTTGGCCCACTGGGGCTGATGGGGTCGGCGGTGGTCACGTCGCGAATCCCAACTGCCCTCGAGGTACGATCCCATGGAGAAAGGTCTGCTTTATGACCGTCAACAGGGCTGAAAACAGAAGTTTTGTTGTGAACCCATGAATGCACACACGTGCGCGCACACATCCCCACACACACACACACACACTCACACACACACACACACTCACACACACACACACACATACACACACTCACACACACATGTCAAATTATGTGCAACACATATTGTAGGCTAGGTTTCAGTTACTCCTTAGAGGGTACGACATTTGTACTTGTGCACCCTGTATGCCCTGCTGTTAGTTATTTCTCTTCAGTTCTACTTCTCAACAACACGCACACACACCCACGCATCCACTGTCACACGCACTTTCCAAGCTCACCTCAAATCTATACTCCCCTCCCCCTCTCCACCCCCCCAGGGCCTGCCGACCATCCGAGCCTTCTCCCAACAGCGCCGCTTCCACCGCCTCTTCCTTCGCCACGTCACCGCCAATGCCACCCCGCACCTATTCTGGCTTGCCACGTGGGAGTGGCTGGGCTTCCGATTGGACCTCCTTGTTGCCGCCGCCCTGCTCTCCGCCGCCCTCGCCGCCGTGGCCCTGCGACACTCGCTGCCGCCCGCCATGGCCGCGCTGGCTTTGTCTTATCTGCTGCAGCTACCAGACTCCCTGCGCTGGACACTGCAATACGGAGCAGAGCTTGAGAACACGGTGAGGCGAGAGAAAGGCTGAGGCTAGTGGACAGGGGTGCAATGGTTGTGTTTCTGGGTGTGAGTGAAGTGCGGGAAGGGATGAACGGAGGCAGGCAGACCATGGAGGGACGGAAACCAGGAATGCGCCCCATCTGCAGAGTGTGCTGGAAGGGAAGCAAGCACCCATCTCCTGACTCAACTCTTATGGGGTGCATTCTGATGATACACACTATTTCCACATCACATTCTCATGCCATGAAACAGTGCGAACTCGGCAGGGAGCTCATCCCTCCAGCACAAGGTCATGCATTGTTTTCTCCCTGTACCTCGAACACCCCATCCATGGCAGTTCACCAGTGTTGAGCGCACACTCGAGTACACCATGCTTCCAAGTGAAGTGCCCCCACCGAGCCCCAACAGTCAATCTAAGCGTCAGCAGCAGCAGCAGCAGCCACGGCAACAGCAGCAGGAGAAGCAGCAGCAGCAGCAGCAGCAGGAAAAGTCCACCGCAAAATCCACAATATTCAGCATGCTGTACGGAGCACTGCGAACAGCAATCAGCCTCCTTCCCTCCAAATCACTATGTGCTCACATTCCTCTCCTCCCCAATTGCCAAGCTACAAATGCAGCATCACACAGCGAGGAGGAGGGGAACATCAGAAGCTCCCTTCGCCCCCCTTGGCCGTCAGTAGGGGCAGTGCAAGTGGAGCAGCTGACGGTGCGGTATGGCAGCACGGGGCAGGCAGTGCTGCGCAGCTTGAGCTTTCGGCTCGCAGGAGGAGAGAAGTGTGGTGTGGTGGGGCGAACAGGTGAGGCTATGTGGGATTGCCTCTGTAGTTCAACGTACCATGATTGGGCTGGTTCAAGGTGGAGAATTCTCAAAACTGATCCGATATACCTGGTAGGGATGGTGTGATTCAGGGCTTCTGTGAAAAAGCGCTTGAAACTGTGTTGGCTGGTATGTGTTCTCTATGTGTCTGCCTCGTCTCAACCCATCAGGTGCAGGAAAATCCACTCTCATGCTCGCTCTGCTGCGGTTGGTGGAAGCGTCTTCAGGGAGCATTTGCATTGATGGTGTCGACATTGCATCGCTGCCGCTAGCCACCCTGCGAAGCGAGGTAGGCTCCTTAGGCACCTCAGAGTCCTTGCATTGCTGCCTCTTGCTGCCGTGCAAAGCAAGGTAAGCCTTTGAGGCACCTCTAAAGACAATACATCGCTTCCTTTTGCAACCCTGCAAAGCAAGGTAAGCATCCAAGTGGCACTTTTTAGTTGACTCAAAACTACTCGCGCTCACTACGTATTCTGCTTTCTCTCTTCTCTTGCTCACTACGTATTCTGCTTTCTCTCTTCTCTTGCTCACTACGTATTCTGCTTTCTCTCTTCTCTTGCTCACTACGTATTCTGCTTTCTCCCTTCTCTTGCTCACTACGTATTCTGCTTTCTCTCTTCTGTTGCTGCTCACTACGTATTCTGCTTTCTCTCTTCTCTTGCTCACTACGTATTCTGCTTTCTCTCTTCTCTTGCTCACTACGTATTCTGCTTTCTCTCTTCTCTTGCTCACTATGTATTCTGCTTTCTCTCTTCTCTTGCTCACTACGTATTCTGCTTTCTCTCTTCTCTTGCTCACTACGTATTCTGCTTTCTCTATTCTCTTGCTCACTACGTATTCTGCTTTCTCTCTTCTCTTGCTCATGGTGTTTGTTTCCCTTGCAGGGTGCTGCTGGCGTCGACACGCGTGTTGCTGATGGATGAAGCGACAGCGAGCATGGATGGGGAGAGCGATGCAGTAATTAAAGACATCCTGCGGGAGTCGTTCAAGGATCGCACCGTCATCACCATTGCACACCGCCTCTCCACAGTTCTGCATTATGATCAGGCAAGCCTTTTGAGACGTCTCCAGAGTCACTCAAGGATAGCACCGTCATCACCATTGCACACCACCTCTCCACAGTTCTTCATTATGACCAGGCAAGTCAATTGTTGATTGTTGAGTTGACTCCAAATTCATTCAAGGACAACACCGTCATCACCATTGCTCACCACCTCTCCACAGTCCTTGATTATGACCAGGCAAGTCAGAAGAGTGTCGCTTGTGCCTCTTGCTCGCATGTAATCACTCTCGTCTGTGTGAGTGCGTGTGCGCACGCACACCCTACATGTGCGCAAGTCCCACCTGCTGAAAAGCTGCCTAATGTTTTGGTTCATCGACTATCCAATCCCCATTTTTCGCAGGTTCTTGTCATGGAACGTGGGAAGAGCATTGAGTTTGGAGCTCCAGAGAATCTCAGAAAACTTAAGTCCAGTGCTTTCTTTAGTATGCTAGCAGATAATACCTCCAAGATAGAGTAAAGACCTCTATGATAGTGTACTACATTGTAATATATGTAATATACATAATTATATTATACTGTATGGTTTATGATTTTATGGCCTTGGTGTCAGAAGTTTCGGTTTCAGCCATCCATACTCGATTTGGCCTGGGTTTAAAATCTTTGATATCACTACATAAAAGTGAACATAAATTACGGTAAGATCCCATTAAGAAACACATATTACATACATGCTTATTGTATTGTACGACAGGAAGGGACACGATTTATCGGAGGGCAATGAGCCATCTTGATTGAGCCGGCACAAAGACAAGGCACCATGGACCTCTCAGCAATATTGATCGATACGGTAATGCGCGATTGACTCTTCATTGCGATGTGGTCAAATGGGACTGTGAGAGAGAGCATGCAGGTTCGAGCCGTGTTCTGAGTCGACTAAAAAATGCAGCTTCGAGTTGTGCCACAACCACCTGCAGCACTTGCCCTCCCTGCTGTCCAGTCTGCAACATAATACCAGTGCCAGTACCAGATCCACGATCGCAGCAACAGGCTGTCAGTCAGTGGAATCTACTTTCTGAGAATTCTCACAGAACAGATTCAGCTTGACACCCCAATACAGAATACCTCTGCCATTACCAGATATCCACGATCGCAGCAGCAGGCAGCAGGCTGTCAGTCCAGCCTACTGCAGCACTTGCCCTGCCTACTGTCCAGTCCAATGCTGCTACTGCCAGTGCTAGATATCCACAGTCGTAGCAGCAGGCTCTCAGTCAGTGGGAGGGCAAGCAGCTTCAACCTGTGGCTCCACTCCACAGGCTGCAGCACTCGAGGTGACATTTGAGTCGACTCATAAACCCTGTCCAAGTTGGAACCGGGCTGTGGGTGGGGGGGGACTCATAAATTCTGCATTCTGTGACTCCAAACACGACACCTGTAGCGCTCCAGGTAGCTTCCAAGTCGACTCAAAAGCCCTAGACCCTATCTAAGTTGAAACCGGGCTGTCAGTGGGAGGGCAGGCAGCCTCCAGGCGGGTCATCACGCCCTGCAGCACTCGCTTCCTGCTCAACCGGAACTGCATCGCTGTTAGCTTCTCATCCAGCACTGGCAGAAGCACTGCACACCTGCACCGCACTCCCATCGCTGTCATCATCTCCCCTCCCATCCTCCCTCCTCTCAACCTCCCTCCTCTCAACTTCCCTCTTCTCGACCCCCCTCCTGTCAGCCTCCCTCCTGTGAGTGTCCCTCCTGCCCCGCTTCTCCCTCTCTCCCCATCTCCACCACCTCCTGTCCGCCACTCCTCACAACCCCTCTCAACCTCCTCGTCCTCCCTTTTCCTCCTCTCCTCCTCATCGCCCCTCTCTTCTACCTCCTCGCCTTCCTTTGCTCCCTCTGCCTCTGCCTCTCCCCTCCTTCCCACCCGTCTCCCGTCCTCCTCTTTCCCCTCCCTCTTCCCGCACCGCTCCAGCTCCGTCAGGATCGCTTCGGCTTCCCTCTGTGCTAGCTTCTTCTTTCCTTCCTTCCCCAGTTTCCCACCCTTCACCCCCTCCCCTTCCCCCATCTTCCCGCCGCTCTTGCACCGCTCCAACTCCCTCAGGATCGCTTCGTCCTCTTCTATGCTGGTCGGCATCTGCTGCAGCCGCGCCTGCGCTAGCAGACGAACGGTGTCGGCCGCTGCTTGGAGGGCGGGCAGCATGTCAGGGGCGGGCGAGGAGAGGAACCGGCACGTGCTGTTGCTGACGGCCCATCCCAGGTAGACTGCTGAGCTGGTTAGCACTGCAGGGGGGTCTGTGTGTGTATAAGTAAGAAATGGGAAGAAAGATGGGCAAAGGAGTGGGTGGGGGTTGGGGGGGAGGGGAGAGGACAGCCATGCAGGTGCTGTTGCTGACGGCCCACCCCAGATAGACTGCTGAGCTGGTCAGCACTGCAGGGGGGTCTGTGTGGGAGAAATGGGAAGAGGAGGGGGAGCAAGGGGGGTTGGGGGTGGGAGGGAAGGTGCGAGGAGAGGTGCTGGCAGGTGCTGTTGCTGACAGCCCATTCCAGGTAGACTGCTGAGCTCGTTAGCACTGCAGGGTGGTCTGTAAAATGGGGGAAGTGCGAAGAGCAACTCGGATTGGTCTCCACGAGCCCTCTCGCCCACACCGCCACGCCCACCTCCTTGTTGGTTTCACCACTGTTGAGTCGACATGCACCCACCTCGTTGATGCAGCAGGTCGTAGAACACAGCGGCGAGCGCAGCCACCAGATTGGGCTCCACGAGCCCTCTCGCCCACCCTCGCCTCCTTGTCTGCCTCACCTGTCTGGTGCTGCAAACAGCAGTGGTACCACAGCCAAAGCCCCACCTTTTCCATGCTGCAAGTAGTAGAACACAGCAGCAAGAGCGGCGATTAGATTGGGCTCCACGAGCCCTCTCGCCCACCCTCGCCTCCTTGTCCGCCTCACCTGTCTGGTGCTGCAAACAGCAGTGGTACCACAGCCAAAGCCCCACCTTTTCCATGCTGCAGGTAGTAGAACATCGCAGCAAGGGCCAGAGAACGCACCTCGTTGATACTGCAGATGGTAGAACACAGCAGCAAGAGCAGCAATCAGATTGGGCTCCACGAGCCCTCTCACCCACACCGCCACGCCCATACCCACCTCCCTGCCCGCCTCACCTGTCCGGCCAGAGATCGCACCTCGTCGATAGTGCAAGTAGTAATACACAGCAGCAAGGGCAGCGATGAGATTGGGCTCCACGAGCCCTCTCGCCCACACCGCCACGCCCACCCTGCCCTCCTTGTCCGCCTCTGTCCTCTCCTCCACGCCCCCCATTATCTCCTCCACCTCGCTCACTCTCCTGACCCGCTGCATCAACTCAAACGGCGGGCCACCGCTCTCCGCGGCGCTGTAGAACTTCCCTCCCTCCTCCCGCTCCCTCACCACGGCCTCCACTGCCCTCGCTGCCACCCGCCACAGCTGCCGCTTCAGCCGATGCAGCGGAATAGTCGTGCGCTCAGGTTCTTCCTCCCCGCTTCTCTCTCCACCGTCAATAAGCCACGCACCAGCACCAGCACCAGCACCAGCACTCCCCCACACGCGCAGCAGCTTCTGCTTAATCTCTTCCCGCCAATGAACGGACGAGGGTGCAGGTTGCGCGCGAGAGGAAGGGCTGGCAGCATCAGCTGTAGCCTCAGCTGTATTTTCGGAAGTGGCGGCTGCAGCAGCATCAGCAGCACTGCATGTGTGCCTCACTTCACTAGAGCCAGCAGCAGCAGCAGGGCAGGCAGCAGCAGTATCAGCTTGGAATCGAGCAGCAGCATCACATGCAAGCTTCGTCTTCACTGCACCGCCACATACATCAGCGCCAACACCACCACCACCACGGGCAGTTGCTATCTCATCCTCTTCTTCTCCTCTTGCTCTTCCCTCCAACCCCCTCTGTCCCCTCCTGCTGCACTGCCAGCTTGATCCCTCGCTGCTGTGAGCCTCCATGGTACAGCGCTTCCTCTCTGCCAACCACTTGCGGCTGCTCCATATGGTGGTGGACGAGAGCGGCAACGAGGTGAACAGCGTGGGAGAGCGAGGGCAGCAGGGGGGCACTGTCAAACATGTTCCCCGGCAGCACGAAGCCATACGCCTCCAGCAGATCCTCGTTGCCCCGCAGCCCGTAGCTCGTGCTCACCTCCTCGCCCCTCTTTACCTCAGTTGTTGCCCCAAACTCAAACGTTGTACCGTCGGCTCCAAACTGCAGGCGTGGGGTGAGGAGGGGGCGAGGGAGGCAGGGAGGAGCGAGGGAGGAGGGAGGGGAAAAAAAGGTAAACGGGGTGGGCGGAAACGGGGGATGGAGAGGGCGAGGGCAGCAGTGGGGCGTGGTCGAGCATGTTCCCCGGCAGCACGAAGCCATACGCCTCCAGCAGATCCTCGTTGCCCCGCAGCCCGTAGCTCGTGCTCACCTCCTTGCCCTGCCTCACACTCACTGTTGCCCCAAACTCAAACGTATCCCCATCTGCGCCAAACTCAAACGTATCCCCATCTGCGCCAAACTCAAACGTATCCCCATCTGCGCCAAACTCAAACGTATCCCCATCTGCGCCAAACTCAAACGTATCCCCATCTGCGCCAAACTCAAACGTATCCCCATCTGCGCCAAACTCAAACGTATCCCCATCTGCGCCAAACTCAAACGTATCCCCATCTGCGCCAAACTCAAACGTATCCCCATCTGCGCCAAACTCAAACGTATCCCCATCTGCCCCAAACTGCGGGGAAAGGGGAGGAGGGGAGGAGGGAGGGAAGAAACGGGGGAGGGCAGGGTGGAGGGAGAAGGCAGGAACAGAGAGTGAGTGAGACACACGAGTCAGGAGGATGCAGAGCATCAGCAACCAAAGGGAGACGGAGAACATGATGGGAGCCAAGCTAGGAGGTGACGCAAGAGGCAGCCCTGCCATGAAAACTGAACAATACTAGTGACAATGATGACCACAATCAATAATCTTATAAGAGTGGTAAAAAAAAAAAAAAAAAAAAAAAAAAAAAAAAAAGTAACAGCAGCAGCAGCAGCAGGGTTTCACACCCCAAGCACATTACCGACCGTGTAGGCGGTTTTGAAGTCGTTGCTGTGGTCGAAGAACTCTGCAGGCGGCACCAGCGGCACCAGCAGCAGCAGCAGCAGCAATGGTTTATAAACCAGTGACCACAAGCACGTTACCGTATAGGCGGCATGGAAGTCGTTGCTGTGGTCAAAGAACTCTGCAGGAGGCACCAGCAGCACCGCACCCTTCTTCACCTGCACCTCCACTGCCCCTGATGGCCCACCCGGCCCTTCCGAACCTCCGCCCGCACCCCTGCCCGACCCTCCTCCCAACCCTCCTCCCGAAACCTCCGGCCGACCATCCACCCGAACCTCCGCCCGAACCTCCTCCCGACCCTCCGCCCGACCCTCCCGCCCCTGCTTCCCCTGTTCCGTCCACTCCACCAGGGCCTATCGGTTCAAACGTCACCACATTCCCCCACCGCGGGTCCTGAAAGCCGCGAGACTGGACCACAGAGAGCGCCCACATGAACTCGTGCAGGGACGCGTTGCCCAGCACTGTGGGGCCACAGCGCCGGTACTCAACTCGTAGCTCGCAAGATTGTGGCGCACCTGATGGGGTGGGTTTGTGGTGTGGGGATGGGGTGCAGTGCAGGCAGGCAGAAAATGAGAACATGAATCTCATTCGCAAGCTCACCATTACCTTCCAGGCTTGCAAGAACTTGGAGTAGAATCCGCACTTGCTACCATAAGTTACAGCGATTTTTTAGGCGCTTCAAAAATCGGCTTTTGAGGCGCCTAAAAAACCGCCTCATGACTCGCTTTGCAAGAACGTGGAGTAGAATCTGCACTTTCCACCACGAGTTATGACTGCTAAGAATTTCCCATCACATAAGTTCCACCATAAGTTACAGCTAAAATGACTGCTTTCGACCCTTACCTTCAAGTAGATCTCACTGCTTTCACTATCAACGGGGCCTGGAGTTTTTCCAGCCTCATTTCTTGAGACGTCTCAAATGTCTTCCGCCTCATTTCCTCAAAGAACTACGGCCACCAGAACGACTCCTGAAGAGAGACGCTTGAGTTGACTCATGCGTGCGGGGTGAGGGGCAAGGCAGAGTGCGTGCGTCACATCACAATCAGGGGCTATTTTTCAAGGGTATTTTGCCCTGAATCCCCTTTCTGTGAGGCGTTTTTTTTTTCGATTACCCTGATTTGTAAAGCCAACCGTATTGCAACCCTTCCCCAAAAAGTGTAGCAATTTTAAGACCCTTAGTACATCAGGCTGTGTGTTTTGTTACCCGTACCAGTCAGGGTTGGGTAAAAAGTACCCTTTTACCGAATCCTCGGACCTGTAGTTTCACGCGTAACTGTAGGAATCTGCCAAGCTGTACCAGCAACAATACATTCCGCCCACCGACAGTCTGTGCTGTCAAGGTGGGTGGTTTTTGTTTTTTCTTGCTGTGATTGCTATTCGTCCTCGCGGCAGCTTTGGCTGCCAGCACTTGGTGTTTTCTCTTGACAGCGCATTGCAACTGTGGTGGTGGCACCATCGTGAACGGGGGACGGAGCGCACTGCAATTGGACGTGGATGTGTCTCTTGCATCATGGACGCCATGCACGCTTGGAATGGTGAGGGGTTTGTTGCTTTTGCTTCTTGCAAAGCACTGTCATTCATCCCAGGCCGTTCACCTCTGTTCCACACCTCTGTCTGGTGTTTCTCAGCACGCTTAGAATGCCTCGCGACGAGGACGACGGAGGCGCACTATCAGGCCAGCTGAATGGCCTGAGTGTGCTCGGCATTGGTCGACGAGAGCCACCTGTTGATCTGCCGCCTGTTACTTCTGGAATGGGAACTTCATCGCCCGTACTTCCTGAACGAGTGGTTTACCCGTTTGAGCCTCCCTGTTCACCCACCGCTTTCCCAGAGCATCCGGCCGTCATCCTTGTACCTGGTGGCGGTGAAGGCTCATCCAATCCGTCTGTCTGCACACCACGAACCTCCCCCGATGAACATGCCAAGAGGAAGCGCACGACATACACCCAGCAGCGCTTGTGGGGCGCTCCACCACCTCGGAATCCGGATGCTCCGCGAAACGCTTCACCACCACCATCCTCCCTTGCTGTGAAAACTTCGGACGTGGATGCAGAGTTTGCATTGATGAAGCACCGGTATGACACCGACTGGTCGAAGCGGTTCTCGTGGCTGAAGCTTCACAACATGAAAAACGGTAGGCCGTCTCTCAAATGCTCGGTTTGTGTGCTGTTTGGCGATCCTAACGCTAACACGAGCTATGGTTGCCGAGGTGAGGGTGGGTAGAGATTTGCAACTTGGGAGCATGCGTGCTCATATCGGCAGCACGGCTCACAAGGCGGCGCTGAAGGCAGAATTCGATGCTGAAGCTGCTAAGGCGCGGCAGGTGACTCTCTCTCGGTGGCAGGCAACGGATTCTTCGACTCGCCATCTCATACGTGTTAGAATTCCCATGTTCTAGCATGCTAACACTTGTGACTGTACACCAATTGTGGTGTATAGTTGCGTTGGGACTACACCCAACTTTCGGTGTAGTTTTGCATTTTGGGGTGCCAATCCAACCCAATTGTGTGGAGCCCCCAAATGCAACCCTATGGGCCATAGGTTGACCACTCCCCCAAGTGTGGCCAACCCAACCCAATGGGCCATGGGTTGGCCCACACCTCCAATCCCACCTCCCCTCCTTTCCCTTCCAATCTTCTCTTCCCAAAGCTATGTATGCTTGCTAATTTTCTAATCAAGCTAATGGTTCAACTTCCTTTCTTCACAATACGATGTCTCCACATCGCCCCATTTCGTCTGCAAGAAAGACGCACCGATGGCGCTCTTCATTCCACTCTGCTGGTTCCTCGCCAAGGAGGGTCTTCCCGATCTCCCTCCAAACAAAGGGTACGGATCGTACTACACAGAGTGAGTACAGTTGTTTCTTTGACAAATACCATTTCTTTTAATGCACTTGCACATGCACGCTTTGGCCTAACAAATCCCTCGTGTGCTGGCTTGCAGGTACGGATTCAAGCAACACCTCAGCGCCATCTCTACCCATTTGCATGAGCGTCAACTTCAGCACATCCAGGCTTCGCCGTGCCTCGGGATAAGCATTGACGAGAGCACCGATCGTGTCCCACGGGAAACACATTATCCTTTACGCCACTTTCTTTAAAGAAACGGCGGTCGTCACTGCGTTTGTCACTCTCCTCTCTGTGGAACGCACTGACGCTGCGTCGCTTACCTCTGTGCTGTTGCAGTACTTGAGACAGATCCGCATCGACTTGCAGAAGATCGTTGGGATCGCCACTGACGGAGCTTCCGTCATGGTCGGTTCACTGGCCGGTGTTTGTGTCCGCCTGAGGACAGAGATTGAACATCTCGTGTCACTCACTGCATCGCCCATCGGTGAGCGGAATTCCGTTTGCTTCCTCGATACTTTACATTGCGTCACCGTCTGTAGCTCAATCCTAACAAGATGCACCGCTTTGTCGCAGGGAGGCTTTGGCAGCCAAGGAAGCAGCGTTTCAATTGCCCGCGCTCAACATTGTCGACGATGTTGTCCGCGGACTGGCGGACATCCTCGGCAGGAGTCACGTGAAGAATCAGCGCTTCATGCACCTGCAGCTCATCTTTTGTCAGACGAACCTGGAGGCACAGAGGATTCATGCCATCAAATGGCTGTCAAGGGGCGAAGCCATCCAGCGGCTACTTGATGTGTTGCCAGCTGCCATGCTCGCGCTGAAGGAGAACTCCGCCACCCTGTGGGAGGTGGTAACTCCCTTCAAATTTTCACTTCCTTCTCCGATTTCTCGCGGACATCCTCACAAGCTCAACCACTTGAACACAAGGTTTCAAGTGCGCCAGTGTTAAGGTGAAGCCCTGCACGCGCCTGGTTTTGCGTGTAGCAGCCCTATGCGGTGTAGCGAGGTTTCGCATACCGTATACCGGAGCTTCGGTATTCGCCGAGTACACTCCAATCCAATAGTGCACTTCGGTATGCACTGTTCAACACTTAACCGAATTGGAGGGAAGTGACGACATTGCAGAAACGAGTATGTGCAACTGTCTCTTGCGAGCACCTGCGCAACTACTCCTGGATAGGTAGAAAATACACCTGACGGTATTTTCACCTGATGGTGTTTTCGCCTTGCGGTGCCAACCTGGAAACCACATACTAGAGTAGGTGCTTGCACGTTCTCCCTTGAACAATGTTCTTCATGAACAACGTTCCCGTAGAACATTCTCGCACACGTCACTATGTTTCCTATAAGGTTCATGTTGTTTCTGTTGTAATCTATCAATTAATCTATTACTTTCCTTTCGTTACTGAATACCAAGCCAGTTGCTGCATACCAAGCATACTATTCCTCCGAATACCAGTATCCCGGTTTCCAGCAAGTCCGTATACGCAAAACTCGCGCTTCACTCTCTGATCGTGCAACTCTGCGCCTAGGCTCTCCCACAATCGCCTATTCTCCGCAGCCAGGTGAGATACCGCCAAAACGACTTGTTCCTGGCCTATGCCGTTGTGTCTGGTGGGTGTGTTATCAATCTCTGCTATTAACGTATCCTCCTGGTTTCCATTTCTGCTTCCCAACCACAGGTGGACGTGACCCTGGTTGCGCACCTCGTGGTGCAAAATCGCATGCGCATCAGTCAGCGGTACATCGATGTGCCACAAGGCCACGTGTTCGGGCACAGAG